GAGGAGGACAAAACCCTAGGATTCAGAGGTGGTTATGTATATGAAAGTGAAAATAAAATGAAGAAATGGAGATTTATGAGGATGAAGTGATTCTGTGATGAACAAACCTGTGGATCTGTGAAGAAAATGTGGATGGTTGAGAGGCGCTCTCGAGAGAAAACAATGAAGACACGAGACAATGAATGAAAATGAAATGTGGTTGAACGGAGAGGTGAAAATACGCATGGTTGAAGATGCACGAATGAAAACGTGGATTGAGAAAGAGAAACTGAAAGTAGCTGCCTCTTGTCTTTGGTTAATTATTTTTTTAATTTTTTATTATTATTTATTTTACAATCCGTGTATAATATCCGTATGTAAAAGGATCTTTATCTACGGATTAAGATCCGTATATAATAATCCGTATGTAAATGACATTTTTCTTGTAGTGATATAAAATCAAATTAAAATTACATAATCATATCTCTCTTAATTTTGAGGCAATTGATTTCCAATCATATTGTTACCTTTTCACTAATCATGGTTTGGTAAAAAATTGACTATATTCTGTAGCACAATTACATTTATAATCGTTATTAGATGATTTCTATGTTTAGTTAGTTAGACTTTAGTAAAAATTTAATAATATTTGATTGAATATATTTTCAAAATAAATGTATAATCAAAATTATAATTAAAGAAAAATTACTTGGGAAATTAAGAAAAAGAATGTATAGAAAAACAAAAAAGAAAAATTACAAAACTAGTTATATATATATATATATATATATATATATATATATATATATATATATATATATATATATATATAATTATATATATATATATATATATATATATATATATATATATATATATATATATATATATATATATATATATATATATATATATATTATATAAAATATTATCTATATTTATATTTTAACTCAATATATATATTTTAAATATATAACAATGCGTAGATATTTCTTTAGTTTTTCTTTGAATAGTTTTGATTAACTAAATTAGTCAGTTAAAAATCTTAAACATATATACTTTTGTTAGAGATGTGAATTTAAATTTTAGTTTTGATACTTTATTTATAAGTGATTTGAGAATTTTAAATAAACTCCTGAAAGTTAAACTTAAATATAACTTACAAAACTGTTATGTAAGTTAAAACATATTTATTTTCTGTAAATATACAGGAAAATAAGGAAACTCCCATTTAATTAAAATAAAGGTCAAATATATAATATTCTTCTTAATCTAATTACAAAATCAGTTAACCAAAACCCATAACACATTTATTTCATGAGGTAAAAGTTGAATGTCCAATAGTGTTTAATAACAAATTTTCCTTTTTATTTTAAATACCTACCTATTATAGTTTGTCTTGATAAATTTATCAAACATAAATACTTATACATACATAGAATTTCTTTATAAATACTAATAAAACAGAAAAACAAGGAGAAATCTACAAGATAAAATTACCTGAGGTATATGAACTAATTTGTAAACTCTTTTATATGTAATATTTTTTTAAAAAAATAATTTAATTTTGTTCATAAACTAATTTGAATATGTAGTGATTTCATTTTTTATATAAAAGTCTTCTATATTCAATTAAAAGTGAACATACAAAAATATTTATAATAATAATTTACTGACTTGTTATTATTATTAATATGCATTATTTTTTATATTGGATAATTAAAAAAAAAACTGGTGTACGAGTGTAAGGCAAGAAGATTGTCTAGGTTGAGATAATCTTTCATAGAAATTATATTTATCTTCTTCTAAAGTTCAAACCTGTCACATCTCATACACCATATTTTTATGTTATTATTATTTTTTTAGTTATACTAATGCAGAATTTACTCTTTATAGTTAAATGTTCTTGAAGATTTTGAAAAAAAGAATGTTCAAATAATCCAAAATAAAACACACTGTTGAATACTATGGGTAATGAAAATAGTCAAAGTTGATTTAGTTTGACTATTTGTTTAGTTTTATTGTGTGTAATTAGTATTCAGATTATGCTATTTAATTAAAAATGGTTCAATTTGACTTGACGAATACCTTACTTTCTTTTTCACATTTTTATGAGTGTTTCATCATTTTAAAGAATAAATAAATAGTGCAATATATACTTGTTCAATTTAGATTAATTGAATTGCTTTTTATTGATTTTATTTTCTCATAAAAAATAACTCTAGTTCAAACTTATAATTTATAATTTGTTCAGTATGGTTAATTTGAGTGTGTTGAATGACTTGAATAGAATTAAATGCATTTCTAATGTAACTTATACAAGGAATGAGGAATTAGGTGACTGATTCACCATTGGTCAAACCAAAACAAACTTTGGTGTTAATACATTACATTTTTTTAATGTTTTCCTTATTCTTATAATATATATTGGGTAAGAAATTATAATAGTTATTTTCTAAAACTAATGAGTTTTAATTTTGATTTTTATAAAGTAATATTTTTGTATAAATTTTGAAAACACTTTTTTTAGTTCTTTTGAAATATTCTGAATTTTAATTTTTATCTATGATTTTTTCCCCAAAAATTTAAACAATATTTAATTTATATAAAGAAACACTATTTATTATACAAGTTTTAAGAATTTTTTATATTAATGTCAATATTATATTACAATATTGATATGCATTACTTAAAATATCATTTAATATTTTAAAAGTAAAAATTAATATTTATTAATTTACATAAGCTAAAAATATTTTTCTTAAAAAAAATTAAACTTACTTTTTTTATATTATACAAGAATTGAAAATATAGTTAAATCTTTAAATATATTGTGAGTGTAGTTTATGTTACATCCATAACCGACAAAAAATGGCTTTTAGAAGAAAAGAAACTAGAGCGAGTGTTTATGTACTTAAATTGAATGCATGAAAATATGTGAAACATCCGACAAACACTCTGTGAACCATCCGACAAAGATTTTGTGAAGGATCCGACAAAAACTCTATCATTATCTAAATCAAGTGAATGTTCTATTAATCAGAAGAATTTTATTTTTAAGTTTAATAATATTTTTTCTTGCAAAATCTTGATGTAAAATCTAAATATTTTTAAAGCACCAATATACTATCAAAGAAATAGTTTTAAACAAGCATATATTTCACTGTTTCAATGCACTGCCAGTGGAAGAAATTAAGACATGTTTGAATATCTTTTTTAAAAACTATTAAAAAAAATATGAATATAAACACGCTTTTTATACTTACAATTCATTTATCTATAATTTAATTTATAATTCATTGTATAGTTTATTTAATTTTTTTATTTATTAATTATTATATAAAATAATTTTATTTTACAGATTAATTTTCTTTGTTTATTTTCTTATTGTACAAGTTTTTAGAAGAAAAAAAAATCTAAATAAACCTTATATTTAGTATGATAATGTCACATGTAGGATTAAGTTGCTCACCAATGACAGTGTTTTCTTTCAAAGGTTTTTTCTTTCAAATGATACTAAGTATTTAATAATTCATTTAATATATATTTTTTTAAACATGATCTATTGTTTTATTTTATTTACTAAATCTGATTTCACAATCTTATATAAGTAACTTAAAATCAGTTTTATTCATATTAATGTCCTATATGTAACTGTTATATTAATAGATAAAAAATACTATCCATCGATATTGATGTCAGAAACTTAAATATTACTATTTGTTTTTTCAAATTCAAATATTTAAGTTATATCTAAAGTACATAATTAGTTATAAATGGAAGATAGTATTTAAATAGTATAAATAAAATGTTGTTGTCAATTTTACTATAATTTTAATTTACATAGAGACTTAATTATATTTATGGATGCTAGTGGAAACATATATGTTTTATGCTAATATTCACTTTTATTTTATTATAATTTTTTTATTAAACTATAAAATAATTTTTAAATATTAAAATAAAAAATATTAACAGACTATACAATAATTTAATAAAAAAGTAATCATAAAAATTAAATCTTTATTAAGTTTAAATATGTTTGGAATCCTTAAATTTAAAGGCTTGATCGCGTTTAAAAATTTGATATACTTTACTTTTAAAACTTAAAAGCAATGTATTCTTCTTAATCCATTTGATCTAATATTTTTTATGTGTTAAAAGATGCTACATAGTGTATTTGAACTATTTATACTTTTGAGCTAAGCTTTTTTATGTGTTAAAAGATGTTTCATAAGGTATTTGAGCTATTTATATTGTTTAATAAAGTAAAAAATATTAATGTCCTTGGATTAAAAGTTCTATATCATTTAGTTTTAAAATTTAGGAAACAAAAGTTTAGAACATGGACCAATTCTAAATTTGTGTGTAAGTTTATCATGAGTAATTATTTGAATTTAAAAAATATTATTAAAAAGATAAAATTGGAAAATGATCTTTTAATTATAGTAATTATTTGAATTTAAAAAAAAAAGTGTATAGAGCAAAAAGATAAATCCTCTTTACCAATGATATATATCATACAGATACACAAATTATTTTAAGTGGTGTTGGATGGAGCATAGCTTATTTGCAAAAATAGATATTTTCAAATTATATTTGGTATGATGAAATATTAATTTATACTAATAAGACATAATGAAAATATTGATAAATATTATTTAAAATTGATTTTATTAAAGAAGTTGAAACAGAAATATTTTTGAAATCACACTGAAATGTGTGGCCCCTCATCTGTAATGATTTCAAGAGTCGAGAGATAGTAACAATTTTGTCACTTACAAGAGAAAGATTCTATTTTTTGAGATAATTAAGAATTAGAAGATGTTAATCTTATAAAAACTAAAGTTTTAGAATGATAGAATCAGCACCACCCTGCTAACCAGAGAGAGAGCTTTGTACAACTTGCATTCTTTCATATCACCCCTTGTTTCTTGTATATCGTGAAGCCAAACATTTTCCTTCTTGCTCTGCCTACGAGACAGAGAAAACAACTAGCACCTGGTCCTGTGCCAACCTTGTATTATGTGATTTCAGTTCTCTCTTTCATTTTGTCACTTTTTTGCTTCTGCTGCTTTTCCATTCCTTTCTTCACATCTGCAACCAAAACATGCATTTTTGGTCTTGGTAATGTAACCACCTTTTGTTTCTTTCACCATTATCACTTTTCTTGCTAAGCCATTCCTTGGACTGGTTTATTGACTTGTTACTCTCAAAATCCTTCCGCTCACATTTCCACCACATGCATATCAAGCCCTCTTAAAAGGGTATCTCTAAAGCTTTTGATCATTCTGGGTTACTCAATTATCCAGTGAAAGCTTAGAAAATCACCACTTTTCACTTCAACCAAGTGTTGTGAATTGTATCTCTCTTTTCAATCTTCACATCTTCAACAAAAGCAAAAGATCTTTCTTTTTTTGTTAAGATGATGTTTTCAGTGATGAGAATTCTTTGCTTGTTGCCTTTTCTGCTCACTTTGTGTCTGTCAAAATCTCTGCTGGTGGGTGGTGAGTTGCAGGAACAAACTTTACTACCTTCCATCAACCAAAATCTCAGAGTTCCAGGCTGGAATGCCAGCACCTCAGATTACTGCTCCTGGAAAGGTGTCATCTGTGGCAACCTCTCACTGGTGGAGAAGCTCACTCTCTCTAATCAGAATCTTGGAGGCAATGTAAGTTCAATTTCCAGGCTCAAAGCTTTGAAGTGGCTTGACCTTTCAAACAATAACTTTCAAGGGATGATTCCAGCTGCTTTTGGAAATTTATCCCATCTTGAATATCTTGACTTGTCTTCAAACAAGTTTGAAGGTTCAATTCCACCACAATTGGGAGGTCTCAAAAGCCTCAAATCATTGAACTTTTCCAATAACATGCTGGTGGGAGAGATACCTAAGGAACTTCAAGGCCTTGAGACTTTACAGGATTTTCAAATTTTCAACAATCATCTGAGTGGTTCCATACCCAACTGGGTTGAGCACTGGACCAATCTGAGAGTTTTTGCTGCTTATGAGAATCATTTCAATGGAAGGATTCCAGATGCTCTGGGATTCCTTTCTGAGCTTACAACACTGAACCTGCATTCAAACCACCTTGAAGGTCCTATACCAGGAAGCCTCTTTTCTGCATGGAAGCTAGAAGTTCTGATTCTCAGTCAGAACAACTTGAGTGGTGAAATTCCGGAGGAAATCGGGAACTGTCGAACTCTTGTCAGTGTTCGAATTGGAAACAATAATCTACAAGGTAATATTCCTAAGAGTGTTGGAAACCTTACTAGCCTTGCTTACTTTGAAGCTGATGATAATAATCTTTCTGGTGAGTTAGTATCAGAGTTTTCTCTGTGTTATAATCTCACCTTCTTGAACTTGGCTTCAAATGGATTTACTGGAATAATTTCACCAGAATTTGGAAAGCTTATGAACCTGCAGGTGTTGATGCTTTCTGAAAATCTCCTTCATGGTGATATTCCAGAATCGATTCTTCAGATCAGAAGTCTTGAGATTCTTGACTTAAGCAATAACAGGTTCAATGGAACAATACCAAACGGAATCTGTGACATCGCTCAGTTGCAGAAGCTGNCGATATTGATGTCAGAAACTTAAATATTACTATTTGTTTTTTCAAATTCAAATATTTAAGTTATATCTAAAGTACATAATTAGTTATAAATGGAAGATAGTATTTAAATAGTATAAATAAAATGTTGTTGTCAATTTTACTATAATTTTAATTTACATAGAGACTTAATTATATTTATGGATGCTAGTGGAAACATATATGTTTTATGCTAAAATTCACTTTTATTTTATTATAATTTTTTTATTAAACTATAAAATAATTTTTAAATATTAAAATAAAAAATATTAAAAAACTATACAATAATTTAATAAAAAAGTAATCATAAAAATTAAATCTTTATTAAGTTTAAATATGTTTGGAATCCTTAAATTTAAAGGCTTGATCGCGTTTAAAAATTTGATATACTTTACTTTTAAAACTTAAAAACAATGTATTCTTCTTAATCCATTTGAACTAATATTTTTTATGAGTTAAAAGATGCTACATAGTGTATTTGAACTATTTATACTTTTGAGCTAAGCTTTTTTATGTGTTAAAAGATGTTTCATAAGGTATTTGAACTATTTATATTGTTTAATAAAGTAAAAAATATTAATGTCCTTGGATTAAAAGTTCTATATCATTTAGTTTTAAAATTTAGGAAACAAAAGTTTAGAACATGGACCAATTCTAAATTTGTGTGTAAGTTTATCATGAGTAATTATTTGAATTTAAAAAATATTATTAAAAAGATAAAATTGGAAAATGATCTTTTAATTATAGTAATTATTTGAATTTAAAAAAAAAAGTGTATAGAGCAAAAAGATAAATCCTCTTTACCAATGATATATATCATACAGATACACAAATTATTTTAAGTGGTGTTGGATGGAGCATAGCTTATTTGCAAAAATAGATATTTTCAAATTATATTTGGTATGATGAAATATTAATTTATACTAATAAGACATAATGAAAATATTGATAAATATTATTTAAAATTGATTTTATTAAAGAAGTTGAAACAGAAATATTTTTGAAATCACACTGAAATGTGTGGCCCCTCATCTGTAATGATTTCAAGAGTCGAGAGATAGTAACAATTTTGTCACTTACAAGAGAAAGATTCTATTTTTTGAGATAATTAAGAATTAGAAGATGTTAATCTTATAAAAACTAAAGTTTTAGAATGATAGAATCAGCACCACCCTGCTAACCAGAGAGAGAGCTTTGTACAACTTGCATTCTTTCATATCACCCCTTGTTTCTTGTATATCGTGAAGCCAAACATTTTCCTTCTTGCTCTGCCTACGAGACAGAGAAAACAACTAGCACCTGGTCCTGTGCCAACCTTGTATTATGTGATTTCAGTTCTCTCTTTCATTTTGTCACTTTTTTGCTTCTGCTGCTTTTCCATTCCTTTCTTCACATCTGCAACCAAAACATGCATTTTTGGTCTTGGTAATGTAACCACCTTTTGTTTCTTTCACCATTATCACTTTTCTTGCTAAGCCATTCCTTGGACTGGTTTATTGACTTGTTACTCTCAAAATCCTTCCGCTCACATTTCCACCACATGCATATCAAGCCCTCTTAAAAGGGTATCTCTAAAGCTTTTGATCATTCTGGGTTACTCAATTATCCAGTGAAAGCTTAGAAAATCACCACTTTTCACTTCAACCAAGTGTTGTGAATTGTATCTCTCTTTTCAATCTTCACATCTTCAACAAAAGCAAAAGATCTTTCTTTTTTTGTTAAGATGATGTTTTCAGTGATGAGAATTCTTTGCTTGTTGCCTTTTCTGCTCACTTTGTGTCTGTCAAAATCTCTGCTGGTGGGTGGTGAGTTGCAGGAACAAACTTTACTACCTTCCATCAACCAAAATCTCAGAGTTCCAGGCTGGAATGCCAGCACCTCAGATTACTGCTCCTGGAAAGGTGTCATCTGTGGCAACCTCTCACTGGTGGAGAAGCTCACTCTCTCTAATCAGAATCTTGGAGGCAATGTAAGTTCAATTTCCAGGCTCAAAGCTTTGAAGTGGCTTGACCTTTCAAACAATAACTTTCAAGGGATGATTCCAGCTGCTTTTGGAAATTTATCCCATCTTGAATATCTTGACTTGTCTTCAAACAAGTTTGAAGGTTCAATTCCACCACAATTGGGAGGTCTCAAAAGCCTCAAATCATTGAACTTTTCCAATAACATGCTGGTGGGAGAGATACCTAAGGAACTTCAAGGCCTTGAGACTTTACAGGATTTTCAAATTTTCAACAATCATCTGAGTGGTTCCATACCCAACTGGGTTGAGCACTGGACCAATCTGAGAGTTTTTGCTGCTTATGAGAATCATTTCAATGGAAGGATTCCAGATGCTCTGGGATTCCTTTCTGAGCTTACAACACTGAACCTGCATTCAAACCACCTTGAAGGTCCTATACCAGGAAGCCTCTTTTCTGCATGGAAGCTAGAAGTTCTGATTCTCAGTCAGAACAACTTGAGTGGTGAAATTCCGGAGGAAATCGGGAACTGTCGAACTCTTGTCAGTGTTCGAATTGGAAACAATAATCTACAAGGTAATATTCCTAAGAGTGTTGGAAACCTTACTAGCCTTGCTTACTTTGAAGCTGATGATAATAATCTTTCTGGTGAGTTAGTATCAGAGTTTTCTCTGTGTTATAATCTCACCTTCTTGAACTTGGCTTCAAATGGATTTACTGGAAAAATTTCACCAGAATTTGGAAAGCTTATGAACCTGCAGGTGTTGATGCTTTCTGAAAATCTCCTTCATGGTGATATTCCAGAATCGATTCTTCAGATCAGAAGTCTTGAGATTCTTGACTTAAGCAATAACAGGTTCAATGGAACAATACCAAACGGAATCTGTGACATCGCTCAGTTGCAGAAGCTGCTGTTGGACAGGAATTTCATAAGAGGAGTGATCCCTCAGGAAATTGGAAGGTGTAGAGAACTTCTTGAATTGAAATTGGGGAGTAACAATCTGACAGGAACTATTCCCTCTCAGATTGGTCACATGCATAACTTGGAGATAGCCTTAAATTTGAGCTACAACCATCTTCAAGGACAATTGCCCCCAGAATTAGGAAGACTGATCAAACTTGGTTCTCTGGATATTTCCAACAATAATCTCACAGGTAATATCCCTGATACATTTATCGGGATGGTGGGCTTGATTGTCATTAACATGTCAAATAATCAGCTCAGTGGTAAATTGCCAAAGTGTGCATCATTCCTGCATAATCCTGCTTCAAGTTATTTGGGCAACAGAGGGCTTTGCGGGGAGCCATTGAACATTACATGTGAAGATATTCGCTATCGTTACATAGCTGTGGAAAACAATAATAAATTTACTTACGAAACCATAATGTATATACTTGGACCGTTTCTTCTGGCTTTTATGTTATTTGCTGCAGTTGTCTTGGTAAACAGAGTGTGTCAGAGGAAAGTAGAAAAAGTTCCTGAGATAGAATGTGGTGAAAGCATTAAAGAAGCATCTATAATATCAGGAAAAGTTTTCGCTGACAATCTAAGAGAAGAAGTAGACCTTGAAGCGGTTGCTAAAGCAACTCTTGAAGAATCTAATAAGCTTAGCAGTGGCACTTTCAGTGCACTTTACAAGGCATTGATGCCCTCTGGGGTAGTCTTACTTGTAAGGAAAATAATCCCTATGGACATGACAATAATGCAGCGGCAGAGCAAGATCATTTCAGAGCTTCACAGGCTTATAAAACTATCCCATGAACATGTAATGAAACCCGTTGGATATGTGATTTGTAGCGATGCTGCTCTTCTCATATATCAGTACATATCCTGTGGAACATTGGCTCAACTTCTTCATGAACCTGCAATGCAACCTGAATATCAGCTCGATTGGCCTGCTAGGTTCTCTATTGCAATGGGAATAGCAAAAGGTTTGGTTTTCCTTCATCAGAAGGCAATTATCCACCTTGACATTTCTTCTAGCAATATTCTTCTAGATGCATATTTAGGGCCACTGATTGGGGACATCGAAATATCAAAGTTCTTAGATCAAACTAAAGGAAGTGCTAGTATTGTCCCATATGTAGGTTCTTTTGGTTACGTTCCACCAGGTATACTACTTATATACTGTTAATTATACTCATTTCTAACAAGGATTTGCACCTCATTTGAACAGTTTTGGCATGATGGTAATAACTATGTTGGTTGTTGTTTGGTGCAGAATATGCATACACAATGCGAGTGACAGCAGCTGGAAATATTTATAGCTTTGGTGTGATACTGCTGGAGATGGTAACTTCCAGAGCAGCATTTGATGAGGGTAATGGAGAAGGTGTAGACTTGGTGAAGTGGGTTCGTGAAGCTGCAGCAAGAGGTGAAAGTCCAGAGCAGATAATGGATGCAACGCTTAGCTCAGTGTGCGATGAATGGAGAAAAGAAATGCTTGATACTCTGAAAGTGGCCTTGTTCTGCACTCAAATCAGGCCAAAAAACCGACCAAATATCAACAACGTTGTGGGAATGCTTCGAGAAATAAGGAACCAAATTGATTTCTGTGTCGATTGATCTACCAAGCAGTGAAGAGTAAGAATAAACCTTAATAAAGAGGTGTGCTTTTTTTTCGGTTGTTTCGAATAAAAAATAGAAAAATAGAGAACTTTGTTTTGCTTATTTTGAGTTTGAACTTGAAGGGAGAAAGTGGAAAATCCTATTCTGTGTAATCAGTTTCATATCTGAGATGACAGAATGGATTGTGTTTAGCTTTCTCGAATAAGAGGTTTGAGTCATTCAAGCACTGTTTTGGGTTCTGTATGAGATGCATTGCATCCATTTGACTTTATGTTTAGTTGAATGTCATGTTATTGCCTTTACGATGTTTTTTCTTCTTTATCCCATTAGTTTTAAAATGTCCATTTTGTTTTTAATTAATCTGATTTTTTAATTATCTGTTCTAGGAATCTTCTTCAACAATGTTTCTTAAAAATTTTAAAATATGCCTTTTGAAATAGAAATTTTAGAATAACATTTTTTGGAATATATATGTATGATACCTTCTAGAATGAGATTTTTGAAACAAACTTCCTACAATAAACTTTTCGCAAAACATGAAATGCACAAGTTTTTCATAACAAAATTTTTTAAACGAGCTTTTCAGAACATATCTAATATTTTTAGGAACGATTTTTCCAAAACGAACTTATTTTGACAGAGGTAAAATGATGCAGCGAGGAGGATACTTTAGCATTTTGCTCTTAATATAAGAGTCCAATTAGTAATCATTCGGTGCAATACAAAACTGGGAAATAACCATTCGACTTTTACTTCCTACACCCGTACAATTTCTTTACACAGCCTTCACTGTTGAAATTATGATTCTGCCCTTCCGAATTACATATTTTGAAAACTTTCCAGAACGAACTTTTCTGGATTTTTGGAACGAAATTCCTGTTTTTGAAAACATAATTTTTGGAATACAATTTCGAGAACATATTTCATATGTTCTTCAATAAAATTTTCGAAATGGAATTTTTGAAGAAAACTTTCCGAAACTCTTAAAATACTTTTCGGAATCGGAATACACACGCATACATGTGTTCTTATAAAGATCAATTTGAAGTAGGGAGTGAATGGATGAATAAAATTGATCTAACAGTAAAATTTATGATTTTTTTTTGAAAGATTGGAGGTGAAAATGAGTGAATTTTAAAATAAAATTTGGGAGTGATTTTACATATGTGATAGATTAAAAAAGAGTTTAACATATAAAAATATAAGATTATCAAATTATTTTTAATATTAAAAGTAATATAGAATGCTTTTTATATTAGTTAGAGTTATTATTTTTTAAATATGTTAATAAATAATATTGGACAAATACAGTGGAATTGGTTCGACGAACAACATAATTGATTTCAATGCATGTTGAAATCGATTCCATTCACATTTGATAGTCACGTTCTTTTGAATATAGTTTTCTATAATACTTTAAATACATTTCGGAAATAAACTTTCTCGAATGAATTTTATTTTATTTTTATACATTTCCTCTCTTCTTTTTCCTCTGCGGCATTTTCTCACCTTTTTCTGCTTTTGCAGTACGGCAGTGCTGCAAAAATAACGAATGTTTAAGTCTTTTTCCAATATTGTAGTGGTGCAGGAAGGCAATAACATGATTCTTTTATCCCAGCCCACCGTAAGCCTTTTCAGGCTTATCCACCAATACCATACATATTCTAGTATGCTTGCCAAAAAAAATTATTTATTTTATAAAATTAATTTAAATAGGCAAATTTAGTTGAATGGTAAAAGATAATAATAATCTATTCTAAATTTAGTTTAAATATTAATTTTTTATTAACATTAGAGAAATTAAATTTATAAAATAAGCTAACCATAAGAACTACAAATATTTTATTTTTTTAATATTTAAAAGAATATACAGTGATAATTTTAAATAAAAGTTAAATATATATATATATATATATATATATATATATATATTTTTTTTTTTTTTCTTAAATGGAAAGCATCTAAGATAGTTCATCTGGCTATATTATCTTTATGAGAGTTATTTTTCTATATATTTATTTCTTTTTGTACCAAAATGTGATAGTATAGTTCTTGATCTCTTTGAAAAAATTAAAAAGGAAATTGAGGAATTATTTGCATATTTAATGTAACTCAAAGTGATTTATGTACTAAATTATAAATTATTTATTTGTGGAAACCTTAAAAAAACCCTCTTTCACTTAAATCATATTTTATTTATTTAATATTATTTTGGTCAAACTTAGGATTTTAACTGGTCTTCTTCTAGGAAAAAAATATATCTTAACAAAAAAAAAAACCATAAGAAAAAAAAAAAAAAAAAATTAAAAAAAAAAAAAAAAAAATTAATTAAAAAAAAAAAAAAAAAATAAAATTAAAAAAAATTTTTTACCCCCTACTTGCCTTCTAAACCAAATATTATATACTAATAAAAGTTTAACATATGGAGCTCTATAAAAATGTCAGTCCAAAAAGTGACATAAATTAAAGAATGGTTACATCGTAGCCAGAAAATAAGTTTGTTAATTTGAGTTAGTGAGTTGGGCCAAGGTGTACCTTGTATTTCTTATCTGTGTTGTTTGTCGTATAATGCATAGTTTGTGTTGCCCTTTTCGGAGTTAATCTCATTTGGTTGCGAGTGCCACTGGGTTAATCTTTGAATTTTCAATCCAAGTTCCTTTGACAAAAATAAAACAAGGGTTCATGTAAATCGATATTTCAGGGGAAAGAAACTCTAAAATCTTTTGTGTGATCTCTCTTCTATATTTCATTCCTTCTTCTTTGAGCTCCATCAACAATACAACCTGACATAACAAAACCAGCAGAATCAATGAGAATCAGCTCATACAACTCTCCTAGTATCTTTGTTAAGTTACTCTAATAACTTGTATTATATTATTTGACCAACTTCTTTGAAACTGTTTTGGTACACGAATTTGTTTTAGTAAGTTCCAGATTTTTTCATGAATTACTTAATAGATTATAATGAATTACCTTATAAAACACTAACTTTTTTTTTCCCATTTTTATCCTAATTAATTTATTTGAAATATCATTTTAACTCAGAACTGATAAAATTAATATCTCAAAAAACTAAACATCTCATATTATATCTATCAGCTATTTCATTAATTACTGATAATATTTCAATTCATTTACATGTAAATATTTAACTATTTAGTTTCCAAGTTCTTGCTTGTAAGCTTCAACTAGCTTAACAATTAGCTTTTACCAAACACACACCCTAGATTATGGACACAGAAAATTTTGTTAATGGGAATTACTCTCTTCACATGATAAAAGGAAGTAAAAAAAAAGGGGGTATGTAGGTACAGAGTGAGGTCCGCCACTGCTTCCACAAAATGAGTTTGAACAGAAATTCGAGAATATGCTTTTTCATTCTAATTTCTAAACGAGAAATTCGATATTTCGAAAATTCTGGCCAGTCCCAAGAAAGGTTAGTCTGAAAAAAATGTACATCACTAATATCGATTGAATTAATCTTGCAAATTCCTGCCAAATTACTGGCCTTTCCCGAAGCAAACAGTATCCATTGAAGAGGTCAGTGTGATTCAAAACATTAAAAATAATTGAGTAAGCAAATGAATCTGTCAGCCAATCCTGTGGCATAGATACAAATAAGTAAAGAAACATCTTCAAATTCATATTCACACTTTGATTATGAGGTTTAATTTTGATATATATGCTACGAGTGTAAGGATTTGTATCCTATCAGTCAAGACTTTTAAAGTAACTATGACAGAAGTCAACAATTTTCAATTATATGTGATCCATGATTGTATGACAATGTTTACACTCTAAAATGTATTCAAATTCAATTCATGTTTACAAAACTATTCATCCAGTCTATTTATTGCATAAAAAAAGTGCATTTTCTTCTCGGTGTAATTCATTCAATAAAAAATATCAACTCTCCATACCTTATGATCTAGAATTGCCACCATGATCCCTCTCAACATGTTCCACAAGGGCAACAGGATCCTGAAATCCTCTGCTACACTTAGGGCAAGCATCAATTGCAACCTTTGGTCCAGATCGGTTGCCACTCCTTTCATGAACTTTTTGCACATGGTCCACCAAAGCAGTAACAGAGGAAAACTTGGCACCACACTGAGGGCATTGCTCCACTTGACCACTACTCTGGCTAGCTCCCACCCCACCTGATGCTTTCCACCAGCCTTGGTTAGCTTCACTCAACTTAGACACACCAGCCTCTGCTGATGATCGAATGTTAGAAACTGCATTAAGAAAGCCTGTAGACCATCTAGATGATGCAGATGAACTTGGCTGCGGTTTGGACTCCTGTTTTTTACTCACATTCAAAAGATTCCTGAATGAAAAACTTGTTTCCATTTTTCTGGGACCAGGACATTTATGATCAGGTCCAAACCGATGCTTTAAACAATGGTCTACCATGCAGTCCCTGCACTTAATTGTGTTTGAGAATCCTAATATCTCTCTGCATCCTGGGACAGGGCATTTTTTCTTCTTCGTGACTTTCTCATAGTTCGATGGGTCACAGTCAGTGTTGACATGATTCTCCCAAGTTATATTTGCATCTTGATCAGGAACTAAACGAACTCCTTTAGCGCAAAGTGGACATACAACTACAGTTACATCTTGCTTGTCTGCTTTTGGACACTGATGTTTAATATAACCTCTGTGCTCCAAACAATACACCTGCAAAGATTTTGCTGATAAGTTTGATCAAACAATAAGCTCTTAAAACTAGCACAGGTGGAATAATAATCAATAATTCCACACTCAGACAAATTCCCAGAACGTCACCAGACAAAATCAATAATCAGAACAGTGTTTTATGCAAGAACCCCAAAGTTTATGTGCTACTCAGAACCAAAGAAAAATTAATACTTAACCAAACAAAACAAAAAATTGCAGTAGCAAAATTTACACAAAACTGACTTTTGAGGTGAAAAAATGTTTTAAGCTTAGTTCAAATTTAGAAGTTTAAAATATGATTGTGAAATTCAAGAGTAGCCTAAACTCATGGAACTACTTCAGAATTGACTTTTGAGACTACATAATACAAGAAATAATATTCATACACAACCTATTGATAACATAAATGCATAACATAATACTTTCAACCAAACCAAGGTAATCTTATCAAATCATGAATCATGAAACTAATTTTTGAACTGAGAATCATAACAGATCGTACCGATGATGTGCAGTGTCCATTAATTTAAAACAGACATAAATAAAACAGCTTGAGCAACCGTCTTATAGAGCAAAATTATTAGTTCTTAGTTATATCTGAGTTTATAAATCCTTTATTTTAGAAAAAT